ACTATCTTTTGAGTGGGAAATTCACTATAGTGACTGGTCATAAGGACTTGAGATATATTGTCAACAAGCCTAATGCTGAGGATAGGATAGCTACATCATTGAGTATCGATCGAGAAAAAAACATGCTAATGTGGATTTGATGTCAAGAGTTTATGGTGAGGGAGTAGATCAATTGGTAGATGAAACTTATTTGGACAAAGATTTGTTGGTCATGGACACGATGACATCAATACTAGATGAGTATAATAAAATTTGGAAGTTCATTTCCATATGAGAGTTTCCTCAAGGTATGCATTTGAGAAAAAGTAATGCATAGGGTAAGAGATGTCAATCCTATTTGATTATAGAGAAATTTTTATTTCATGAAGGAGCTGACGGTCTTCTACGAACAGCATCTGGAAGAGTAGAAGCCTTGCAACTCATGAAGGAGTTTCACGAAGGTGTAGTGTGTGGAGAACATTTTGTGGGGAAGTTAACTTCTTTCAAGATCTTTGATGCTAGTTATCATTCAAAGTATATTTTCAAAGATTGTGTGGAATTTGGCAAGAATTGTGAAATGTGTCAAGTTTTTGCTAAAAAGTCCATGAAAACATCTACTTTGATTTCAATTCCAATGTAAAGTACTTTTGAAAATTGAAAAATAGATTTTGTAGAACCTTTGAATCTCACTCCTAGGGGAAATGAGTTCATTGTAATAGCTATAATTATCTTACCAAGTGGGTAGAGGCAAGACCACTTAAATAACAAATGAAAAAGACGTTGGTAGGTTTTGGTATGAAAGAATCATAACCAATTTGGTTGCACTTTGTAGTTAGTGTTGGATACAGAAGTAGAGTTTGTGGGAAGTATGATTCAAGAAATGCTAGATCATTTTCCCATCAAGTCTCGAGTGAACACTTCCTACAAACTCTATGTTAATGGGTTGGCGGAGCGGACCAACTACACTCTTTGTATGATGTTGGCCATTGATGCAAACATGGACGGGAGCAAGAAAAACTGAAACAAGAGGTTGCATGCTATATTGTGGTAGTATCAAATGACGTGGAAAACATCTACCTCATTAAATTTTTTTCCAGATAGTGTATGGAGTTGAATCAAAGCTTCCAATACAATATGACTTGACTACTTTCATAACGATACAGCAAAGGTTGAAGAAAATGAATGTAGAATGAAGAAGAAGCCATCAAGTCTCGTCAACAACAATTGATATAGTTGGAGGAAGCTCGAGCTATGGGACCAGATGTTGCACATGTGTACTAAGTTGTAGAAGTAGCCAAGTGATTAATGATGATTAGCCAAGACATATCTAAGTCTAGCTAGTTATGATTAAACTAGTTAGTTAAAACTAAGTTAATCTAGTCATGATTAAGTTTAGTTATAATGTATATAGTTGGGGGAAGAAATAACAGAGTTCTAGAAGATTGGAGTGAACACTTCTATTTTGTCTTTTACAAAATTTTAGATTCCAAGGGATTAGATACATAACTATAAGCTTGGATTTGATTGGTTTGACTAAATGTATGAAATTTGATTGGCTAGACTAAATCCAATGTTGACTCAGTGGCTCAAAAGCTTTTAAAAGTTTTAAAGCTTCCAATGGCATGTTGCCACCTGAACCTCGGATTCCGGAAACTTCTAGAAGGTTAAGGTAGGCCAATGGCATGTTGCCACGTATAGTGGGTTAGTCAAACTTACCTAGGTAAAAGTGAGTTAGGGGAAATTACCACGTATTACTATTGTAACTCAAGAAGTATAAATAGAAAGTTAGAGAAACATATCTCAAGCAAGTTTGGAGAGTCATGTGTGAGGACTTGTTTCAAGAATAAAGGAGTGAAGTTTTTTTCAATATTTCGGAGTATCAACGTGTGTTTGAGTTTGTGTGAATTGAGTGATGTATGGAGAGTTTGTGTTAGAAGGTGTTTAGGACAAGAGTATGAGTGACAATCCTAGTCTTTTAGAGCCATGATGAGCTACCACAAAATCATCTGAGGTAAACCTAAGTGACAATTAGCCCGGAGGTTGCAAAGCCCTAGCCATGGTTCGAGTGGAACGAGCTCAACAGTTGCAAAAGAAATATCACGACAAACGAAATGAAAATCACGACTTGAAGCCGCTTAATGAAGGTGATTGGATGATGCTCTTTGATGCAGTTAGATACAAGAGAGCTAGGAAAAAGTTTTTTCCTAAATATTTTGGAACTTTCATGGTTGAGAAGGTGTGTGGAAACTTTACTTATGACATCAAGGAGTTAGGAGCACGTTACTTTGAGCGAGTCAATCACGACAAGTTGAAACTATTTCATTCAAGATCAGATTCTTTGATTCCGAGGACGTAATGAAATCTTGATTCGGGGATAAATGTATGATCGGATGTTGTGTGTGTGAAATAAAACTTTTAAGTAGCCAAGTAGTTAATCATGGTTAGTATAGTTATGACAAAGTCTACCTAACTAATTAAGTTGATCAAGTTATAACTATATCTAGCTATAATGTCTATACTTGGCAAAAAAACTAGAGAAGTTCTAGAATATTTGAGTTAGCATTAAAGTCTAGATTTCAAGAGAAAATAAGTTTGACTTCATGTTTAGTTTTGATAAGTTTGATTAAATTAAGAGTACGACATTGGTTAGACTAAGTTTAATGTTGGCTTAGTGGTAAGTGAAGGTTCTAGAATTTGAAAATGCACAAATAGCATGTCGCCACCTCAATCTAGTGATTAGTAAACATCTAAAAGCTGTAGGAAACCAATGTCATGTTGCCACATATTGATAACTAGTGAACATTACTATGGTTTATCTTTGTAAAAGTAAATTAGATATAAATTATCATTTGTTACTATGGTAAATTCTCAAAAAGTATATATAGAGATATAGGGAAGATACTCTTCAGCAAGTTTTGGAGATTTCATATGTAAAGACTTGATTCATATATGAAAGAGTGACAATTTTAGTACCTTGGTGAATGATGGCAATGGTCAACGGTGACAGTCCACTGTAGATAAGTTTCGGACGGTGCAATCGAAGGTGACGGACGATGCGTTGCGGGCGACAATCGTGAACTGGTCAGAGAAGGTGAGCAGTTTGGGCTGGACTATCAAAAGGTTTTGTCTGAAAGACTTTGTATGTAAGAAAAATTATGTCCATCCGAGCAAATATTCAATTTATAATTTTTTTCAAAAAAAAACTTCGTAGGAATGTGAACAAATTGGGTTTTGTTAGAAAGCTCTTCAAGTGAATAGTGTATCTAGATTATTTTTAAGAGCTGGAAGATGACCTAAATAGAGAAAATTGCTTGGAAGTTACTTTTGTATCTAGATTTTTGACGGGCTGAGATGAGAACGCAATATGTTGGATTATCTGGAACAATGATATTCATGCTTTAAAGAAGCAGTGTTATAGACTATGAAATCTAGTACCCTTCGAAAAACAATGTTATAGGCTATAAAATCTAGTAGCAAATGAGATTTTTGGTCTGTATGAATGTTCTTTTCAATGAGATCTTGGTTATTTACAAAAATGGGAAAGTTTCTAGTATCTCTAGATTCATATGAAAAAAATATACACTCACAAATATGGTTGTGGGGGAGTTTGATCATTATATGATTAATGATCAAGAAGTAACACCGTTACTGGTGGAATCTTGAGCACATAATTGAGCTAGTCAAGATTGAATGTATAATCAATCCAGCAGATGTGTTGACCAATGTTAATACTTGGAGAGATTCATGTGACACTGTGCTACTATGTAGTTTTTGCATGAAAATCACAATGAGATTTTGCTTGCATAGTATCATCAGTTATTTTTCTATGTAATTTCTCTATCATGTGATCTTTACGGATTAATTCTAGTTAAATTTTGTTAAAAGATGGACCTGGTGTTAGGTGTTTTTCTATAACTTGTCGCGAAGTAATCATATAGGGTACGAGGTTTTTTGTTACCTCTATGCTAGCACGTTTTTTAGTTATCTTTATATGTTATTACTCTATCATGTTATGGTTAGGAATTAGTTCTAGTTAATTCTTGTTTAAAGAGGTACCTTGTGTTAGTTTCCGTCTAGAAATTCTTGCGAAGTAATAATATAGTTTAGAGAGGTTACTAAGTTTTGTTAACGCGAGTTAAAGGGTAGATTGTTGAGTTTAACTCCGGTTAAGGAATCACCTCATGTTTAGCTATTTATAGTTGAGATTGATCTCCGGTGTTGGAGTATATATACCCAAATTTTGTGTATTACTAGACAGAACTCAAAGTTTATTCCTACCATGCTCTTCCCCTTATGTTTAGCTATTTATAGTTGAGATTGATATCCGGTGTTGGAGTATATATACCCAAAGTTTGTGTATTACCAGAGACAGAAAGCAAAGTTTATTCTTACCATGCTCTTCCCCTCATGGACGTAGCCTTTGGGGTCAATCACATTATTCGCTAGTGTCAATTGTGTTGTTGGATTGGCTTGCATGTGTCATTGAATTTCGCGTTTTAGGTATTTGATCTTTGAAATATGTGTATATATTTCCTGAAGCAACACATACATTACACCAACTTTCATATTTATCATGTGAGAATTTACCTTGGATCATTCTTTCTTAATCACTCTTTGGAGTAATGGCATTAGATGATGAAGGACGCTCTTCTGAACAAATATATGATACATTTATATGTATATCGTAAATGTCCTTATTTTCCCCACTTATTCCTTATCAGTTTGTTTGTTGTGTACTGAAAACTTCTATGGCAATCACACGAGTCCATATGCACAAGATATCCCCTTCCCAAGTAGCATCAAATACTAGACATGGTAATCATGAATACCGGACCTGTGGACCATGTGGGATAAGGTCTCGGTGTGCTATCTCATCGTTCCACTTCCCGGGTCGTCCCAAAGAGTAACTTGCAAATCGTATGCCAAGTCAATAAGCCCGTTCGAGATCGTGGGCCCGTGGAATTCACCACGAAGACCATCACAATATCCATAGGTTTAAGGAGTTTTCGATAGAAGTAAGCACGGTCAATATTGGTATATTGAAATTATAAGAATTATGTCCAGAAGTTACAACGTTGTACCCAAAATATGTGAGGAAACCATCCGTTCTAAAAATATGTAGATTTATTCCATTTTTAAAGGTAAACATATAAAGGATTGACTGTGGCAGTCGTTCTGGTGACATTTTCAGACTAAATGAGTTACCTCCATAGAATAAACCTAATGAATGGTTTATACTACAAACAGATCATTCCCTACTGACCTCCCATTTGTTTCAATTTTTGGTGCCGACAGCCATGGAATCTAGAACAGTTAGACGTTTTCTTAATATCTGCAGCTTCTCATTTGCTTCGTTTGCCTTGTCCTTGACACCTTGTACAATATCCGCGGGAGCCTTGTCCACAAACTGTCCACAGGAAAGGCACAAGGGGTCCAAGTTAGAAAGTCAATTGATAGAAAGCCCATATTCGAAAACAACTTCGACGTACGTTGAGCCTCCTCGTAGCCTCAACTAACAAAAGTTACTTTTCTTATTTGCCATGTAAGATACCGAACATTGACGTCTTACCTTGGATGAGGAAAGCCTCTTCATATTGGATTCATATTCGGCTTGTAGCTTTGTTGCTTGCTTGTTTAGCCTTTCCACTTCTTTGCCAATATCCACCATGTCTGCAAGTGGCAAATATGCTTCGAGACCTTCGGCGATTACCAGGTGTACTGCCTGGTCTGCCTCCCCTACGCAGTGCACAAAACAGATGTCTGTGAAAACAAAACTACCGTACGAAGCAGGTACTAAATATGCTGATCACAGCTGGAACGCAGCCAAGCTGAAACATATCAAATACGATATGTGCTGAAACGAAGATGGGGATTTCTGATACGTTTAAGAGACAAGTAGAAGAACTCACTAGGTGTGCTCGACGTGAATTGTAAGGTGGTAGGATCAAGCTTCGCAAGAGCTATCAACACCTTTTTCTCCTCCTGTTTCGCCAACAGGATGCATACCCACATCAATAGGTCCCTCGAGGATAAAAGGTATAAGTTACATGCACGTAACTAATCCTCGATGCTAACAAAACAACTTTGTAGTTTAACCAGCACACAGCCAATGTGCCGGGTTCATCGTCTTCATTCTATGCAAGTACTAGACTAGTAAAGACTGCATATTGACAAACTAAATCTCGCTTCGTTCCACCTTTAGTTTCCAGTCAAGAGTAGAAAGCACAGGCAGCAAATAGGCATCGCGTATCTGCCTTATTTGTCTAGTCTTACTGAAGTAATCACTTCAAGGCTAAAACTGGATATGAAACTACTACAGATTTGAGGTGCCTCATCTCTTAGAATCCAAGCATGAATTTGCCTTCGAGGATAAGGATATCCCAATCCCTACTTACAAGTAGGTACTCCTGAAACTCCGAATTTGCAACTATGACGGCTGAAATTCGCCTAGCTGGCTCTACAGAATATTCAGCTCGAGCGTTTCGTATGGAGCGAATCTGCACATATAAACCGAAGCTTACTCATCCAGTTGAAGTATGAATCCATCAGAAAATGTAACAAAGATCGATACGATGAAGACTCTTTAAGTGCAGATAGCAAACATACCAGAGTTTGCAGGTCTCCGAACTGCTGAAGAGCTTGCTCATCTTTGGATAAGCCTCGCTGAGGCCACTTTGAGATAATAAGAGCATCTCCTTCGTGAGGCATTGCCTGTGCAAACCACTCCTCGCCAACATTAATATGGATTTGCAGCCTACTAAAAGGGTGTAGTTAACATGCGGTACAAAGGACCATCTTAAGCTGTCAATGTGTTGGTTTACTAAACACAGTATGAAAGCTCGACTTGATTCTTTTCAACACATCAGTTGTACAAATGACATTCAACGAGAAGGAAATGTACTACTTGAGTGAAGCTGAGATGTTTTACCTGCCAGAGCTCCTCAGTAACAAAAGGCATGTACGGGTGTAGGAGCTTCAAAACAGTAGTGAAAACGTAAACCAAAGTATGTTGTGCCTTACGAGCAGATAATGGTTCTTCGTTCTTGTACAGACGAGTCTTGCTGACTTCAATGTACCTGCAGAATGTACGACCACTAGACTGTTAACACACTTTGCCACCGCAACTTTCAAAGAACAAGCCTCATTGATCCAACGGAAACCGTTATGATTGACTATCTGACTGACATGACAAGTATGTATCAAGCTCTCACACTTCCATAAAACTTGCAGAAAGGTCACGGGAAAGTACCAATCCGCGAAGTCAGTCCAAAAGAATTCGTAAATAGCTCGTCCAACTTCTCCAAAATCATACTTCTCGTAACATGATGTTACACCATCAATGAGCATATGAAGCTTTGTTACCTGGAATAAGAGACATCACGTGACAGAACCGTGTCGTTTAGTGAAATGTCAATCAAACGAACGGCTGCCATGACCGTCCAAGTTCCTCATGAGTGTTGAGGCGTGATGAGGGAACACGCCTCATCACCCATGTCCGAACTTGATACTCTTTTAACAATTGGTTCACTGACGACCGATCCCAAATTTCTCTAAGTGGAAAGACTGCAGACATATGAAGCATGAATAACAGACATGAACAATTGCTACTGGGCGACAACAAAATATTGAATGAGGGAAAGAGCATTACCACCCATCGTTCAGGTAAGGCTAGATCTTCCAACATATACGAATCCTGAAAACCACAACAGCAACAAAGTGCTTCATTGTCCGTAAAGAGATGAACGTACCTGGCTTTAGCAACATAGCTTGGGTTAAACAAAATGTCTAAACCGAACAGGAACGAAGATTTCAAATAACTGCTTAGACAATACATATTGGACGAAATCGAAGGGGCAAGTGAAACAATCAAACAGGCCATACTTCTGATATCCTGGCTTTATACAATCATAAGCAAGATTAGAAGGCTGCTTAACTATTACTCCTTTGCGTGTAAATATTCAACAATCACAACAAATATTTTAATCTCCCTCTTGTTCATATTCAAACTTGATTCGGCAATCTTAGGGACCGATTTTGGTGCATCAACTAGGAGACAATTTGGCAATAGTGTCGTACCTTCTCAATAGACAGCTCTTTCCATCCAGCGTCGTCTGAAATAGGGGGTAGGTTTTGAAGAATGAACTTTCCCGCATTCCAAAGCTTGTTTGTGAAAGCTTTGTTGGCATTCAGTCTTTCCATAGAAAGATTCACATCCTGAGGAATATCACGGAAAAAAACTTCAGCTTCACATTTGATCTACTTCGCCAACATGATGTACAGCAGAATGAGATGGTGCATCCAAAAGGCAGGAGACTAAGGGATGCAGGGGACCTGTTCGTTAACATGGCGACATCAAATGCTCTTCCATACCTGTCCAGGAGTTGTGCCAGTGGCTAAGGTGAAGCGCAAGGCATCCGTTCCATACTCTGAGATGGTGTCAAGAGGATCAATTACGTTCCCTAAGGATTTCGACATCTTCCTGCCCTGCGAAATCCAATCACAAGTAGAACGAGACACTAAGTCATCATTCAATCAGCATAGGCTCTGACTGAGCAGCGCATCGTGACAATTTAAAGTGGATCATAATTTGTTTTGGAATTCATAATACCTGGGCATCTCGTACAAGGCCGTGAAGATATACAGTGGAGAAAGGCGACTTTCCTGTAAATTCAAGCCCCATCATAACCATCCTAGCAACCCAGAAGAACAATATGTCGTGTCTGCACAATAAAGAACTCGATTTTACGGAAAGAAAAGTGATAAAAAGAGCATCAACATGATAAGGTAAAGGTCTAAAGAACTCCTGAACTCCTGTAATCCAATTGTAAGAGATTGGTATGTAGATATGGGAGCTTAAGAAAAACACAACAAAAGAAGTAGATGGAAGAGAAACACAAACCCAGTTTCCAAAACGGCTGTGGGGTAAAAACGTTGGAAATCTTCAGCTTCTGTGTTCGGCCACCCTAATGTGCTGAAAGGCCAAAGTCCACTAAAACCAAAGATAAAAAAAAAAGGGGCGTCAATAACACAGTGGATTAGTCTAAGGCCCTCAGATAACCGACGTACAGAGTGCGATCAGTGTCCATAAGTCAGAGTGAGAGTTCAATCTTATTACTGGACGGATAACGCACTAACCTTGAAAACCATGTATCCAGCACATCTGGATCCTGCTCGAGTTTCACAACATCCCCGTAAACAGCCCGAGCTTTTATATAAGCGTCATCTTCGCTATAAGCTACAAAATACTTTTCTTCAGCTCCGTCTATTCCCCGCACATACCAAACTGGAATCCGGTGTCCCCACCAGAGCTGTCGGCTTACACACCAGTCTTTAATATTGGTAAGCCACTGAACGTATATCTACAAAACAGGGGCAAACAACCACCACATGTAAGAGGCCTAAATCCCTGTAACCAAATAGTGATGACTTTTCATCATGACAAATCTGTAATGAGTCTGCAATCTCACAGTGGTGATAGCAACAATTTCTTGATAGACAACATGTCAAAAACGTTGTACCTTCTCGAATCTGTCAGGAATTATGCGAAGCTCCCCAGATTCTAAGACATGAAGTGCCTTTTCAGCTAAAGGTCCCGTAGTCACAAACCACTGCTTGCTAACAAGTGGTTCAACAACCTAATGTGACAGAAGAAACATGTCAGTCATCAGCTGCGACCACGATCTTAAAAGGAAAGATCAAGGCAAAAGGTGGCATGAGCATCAAAAATTTCTTTGACAGAAATTCTCTGCTACTGAGCCACAAGTAAGCTGGTACACACAAAATAGTATATCTGAGGCTGCTGCATTTGTAAATTCGAAACATAGTGTGAGTCGGCTTCTAATGAGTCAGCCAAATGCAGAATCAAAGTCCACAATAAATAGCGAACAAAGTGAAGTATCTATATTAAGACAAATCGCGGAAAGTACACCAAAAATTTGAGGAGAAAGATAACGCTCCGACAAACATTATGCAGATTATTCATCTGATTTAAGGTTGGATCAATTACCTCACCACCCCTTTGGGAGCGAGGAACGCGCTGAGTGTGAGCTTCCTTTTTTATCGTTAGTCCTATGCTCTCCAAATCAGCCCACAGCTGCTTACGAGCTACAAAACGATCAAGACCACTGTAAAGAATCCACATTAGATATATATTAAGCCATATCTGAAACCTCTGTTATCGCAACTAGCTTAGATAGAGACACTCTCAAGTTTCTTAAGTAGGTGCTTGCTGGTAATAAAGCTCCAATTGTCCAAATCTTCAAATGTTCCGCGAAGAAGCCAACCTGATTATACATCATACCATCTACACCAGGGCTGAACTTAGATCAATAAGCAGACAATCGCTCGTGTAGAGAGGAAAAGAACATCCAGAGGCACCGCTAGTTATAATATTCAACTTGGACATCCCTGACACTGATTTAGTTCAAAGATATGATACCTGTACTTTCCCGCATTCTCATTCAAAGTTCCATCCTTATTCATAATGTTGATGATTGGTAAGCCTGTTTTTTGGCCTATTGCGTAATCATTTGGATCATGTCCAGGGGTTATCTTCAATGCGCCGGTCCCAAATTCTCTGTCCACGTACTGCAAAAGTTTCGAAAGATATTCCAGCGTTCACTAGAAGGCAAGGCTTAAAGTATGTAGATTCATGGAAGGACGTGATGCCCTGAAGATGATGAAGCTTAAAACATTCACCAATGATAAAAGCAGTGAAGGGCAGAACTACAAATCGTTATGCCCTTCACAGATCTATAATAACAACGAACCTCATCAGCTATGATCGGAATCTCTCTTCCACCACTCATTGGCACAACAGCCATCTTTCCCACAAATTTAGCATAGCGTTGATCCTGGAAGACAAACAAGTCGCAAATATCATTACCGAAATCTCGCTCTCCATGACATGAACTCTGAGTCTTCAGTGTTGAGGGTAACCACTTTCCGTTCTCGTGAAATGTCAAAAATACGAGTTAAAACTCAGGTACGTTTATTCTTCGTAGATCATGGAAAAGAATAATGCTTGAACGTCAAGATCGTATTACTAGACTCGCAACACGGGACCGTTGACAGTTTCGAGAATAATGAAGAAATAAGCTGTATCGGCTGCAAATGAACAAGATTTTGTGTAGAAAGAAGTAACAGCAATTTACCAAGGGATGGACAGCAACAGCTGTGTCTCCTAGCACTGTTTCCGGTCTCGTCGTTGCAACAGGCAAGTAATCTTCTCTGCGCGAATGAAAAGGTCTGAGATATCAAGTTTGTTCTTTTACAAGGCACCACAGTATCAAAGGTGAGAAGCAATGAACCTAGCACTCGTAGCCGTGTTGAGAGATACAGTGTATCGTGTGAATACATCGAGAAGCATTGAGTGTAGAGCAAGTTTGTTTGGAGTAAAATGAACATACGCATTTCCACCGGCTACTGGGTATTTGAAAAAGTAAAGAGTTCCTGGTTCCTCGCTATACTCCACTTCCTGAAAAGCAGCCACATGAAATCATTCCATGTTGCTAGACAAAAGAATTCTTGAGAGCAAGTGAACATACCCAACAGGAGCTTTGCCTGAGAAACTCGAAAATACGCGGTATTTGTTTCAAACTCGTACACCTGCAGCAAGTTTTGCAGCTCCTTCTAACTCTAGACCATAACCAAAGAAGGGTAAAAAAAGACAGTTTATGCACTTACCAAATCAGACACGGCTGTCTGGAGATTCGGAGACCAGTTGACCATATAACTACCTGTACATAAAAGACAAAAGCAATAGCACATGTTTATAAACTTCATGTCAAAACTAAGATTCACTAAAAAAAAATTGATTGAATTTGTCGCTCCACGAGATAACAGGAAAGCAGTGAGGCGTAGAGGAGCACAACAACGTTCACAACAAAGAGCACCGAAGAAAGTATGTGACTTCTTAAAGATGAGGATGTCCGAGATGTATGACTTGACCATGATGACACAACAAACTCACCGCGATAGATAAGGCCTTTCTCGTGCAAACGAACAAATGCCTCGACGACAGCACCTGCATTAAGATTAAGATTAAGATCTACAATTAAATTTGTCTACGATTCCGTGCTTATCAATGTCAAAGAAATCTAGCTGATTAGAATGTCCTACGATTAACGGCAAAAATGTGGAATGAAATGGTTGAAGGCATATAACATTACTGCTCAGTTTCTCATCCAGAGTGAATCGTTCTCGCTCCCAATCACAGGACGCACCAAGTCTCCTCAACTGATTGGTGATTCGGCCTCCATATCTGCCAGATAATAGCTACTTTGCTGATCAAAAGATGATTTGAGGCCATCGACCCAAAATCCACCCCCATAGTTTCCCAACTCCTCAGCCCTGCATCTTGGAGATGCCTCTAACATCTTGAACGAAAAAATCACAGCATTCTCGTCGAACAGAAAATAAGCTAGAAGTCCTATTAAATTTCAACTCGTAAAGGATGAAAATTGCGACATAAGAAAGGTAGAACTCAAATCTGGAAGAAGACAAAATTCAACTGAGAGTTAAAATGCCGACCACTTGGACATTTAACTACAAAAGGATCCTGAAATTATTCGAAGGATAACAAGAACTAAGGAAGTAAACGGAAATTTACGTGCGTTTCCACTCCCACACTCTCTTCTCAAATTCTTCTCGACCGAGATCAGCCCTCTTCACTCCTTCAGAAGCAAGCAACTTCTCCACAACCAGCTGAAAATGGAAAAGTAACACAACCGGTAAGCACCCACAAGCAAACAACGCCGAATTTACAAGAAGACGTGATTTGAATATGCTCACAGCTCCTGCTAGAAACGTGAGATGAAGAGTTTTCAGAAGAATAGAGAAGTCTGATTTTCTCGTGACAAATAAATCCAACCGGTTCGCACATATACAGGAGGCCAGATAGGAGGCACGCGGTTGATGAAATGCCCAGTTCTGAACATTCAATATCTAAAATTTACTTCAATCCACAGAGAGTAAAGGTATTGTTGTATTCAGCGGTAACTGGGATGCGAAATTTCTTTCAGATGAACCTGGATGTACCTGAGTTGCAATACCTGCATGATCAGTGCCTGGCAGCCAGAGAGTAGGTCTTCCTCGCATCCGATAATGTCGAGTCATGATATCCTTCATACCGATTGTTTCAGTTAAATCAGCATTCCCCCCAAATACCAGTAAGCAGTCTTTGAGCCTTGAGATTATGCTTCACCCCGGATGCAACAACTACGCCGGTTTCAGTACGAATTCTATTCTTTACTCTATCTAGAACTAACATCGCAACCGGTACTCAAGGAGACTCTCACCTGAAGAGTTACAAACATGGCGTGTCCCATGTGTAAAGCGCCAGTCACGTTAGGAGGAGGCATCGACATGACGAATGGTTCACCATCCTGATTAGAATCAGGTCTGAAGTACCCGTGGGACTCCCACCTGGAGTTAAACAGAAAACTGTGAATTTTCTGGACCCATTGAGCAAAAGTAAATGAGTGCGATAGATCAAATCCATCCTGGATTATATCATTACGTGCTCATTTCTTACTTTGAACGCAACAATTAGGTTATTGCATCAACACGGTCGAACTCTATGCAGAGGACAATTGATTAGCTTGGAGAACGCTGGGACTGAGGTATGAACGAAAATAAATTCTTTCAAATTCACAGAATAAAAATCAACAGACACAAGCAAACCTTACCAATTATAAAGTCGTTCTTCGGAGGAGAATTCAAAAGTTTTAGGCAACTCTTTAAGTCCTGTTGACTCGTTAGACGTTGCCACTGGCGCACACCCGCGAGGCAGATTAGTATGACTTCAACAGCTGTCCGTAAAGATTCATAATGGCTGAGATTGGTCATATCTAGCACAGCTCGGTTTGATTTGAACGGCCCTTTTGCAATCTTTGATCAAATTCAAGTACAGCCTTCGCTCGATCATCCGCTTTACTTGAAATTGAATGTCACTTTGTTTGTTAAATCGCCATGATTGAAAAATTCGACTATGCAATGCCCGTGCGTAAGTGTAGGAATGCCATTACAAGATTAAAAACCCGTGACAATTATGAGCTCTTCTTCACATATGATGGGAAATTCAGGCGCATGTAACCACTGCCTAAAATTCCACCCTCGTTTAGAAAAATTCTGATCTGGCCCAAAGAGTCAGCAATAACTCACCGGAACTAGGAGAAGAAGAAGATGCAGCTGCAATTCTGGCATTCCGTGCACTTCCATCAGTCCCGATAAACCTTAAACCCTTCTCACTACCCGCTAAAAACCTGCCCTCGGTTGAAAACTGCTGAAGCCTTTGTGAGTAAGATGGCCTCAATGATAGAGCAGGAGACGTGAGAGCGTGGAGTTGGGCCAATGCACATGGTTGGCGACTCCGACCGAGTGACCATCGCCATTTTCTTTGAAAAATGTGCGATGAGTAAGAAGGCGATAAGGAGAATGCAGAAGCAGCACAATTGCAAATTCTACTCGGAGGTGAAGCATTTAGAACCGGAGAGGGTCTCACGAGGGAGCATGTCGCTCGAAGAGACACCATCCCCTCGATTTGCACCCACAATTGCACGAGCTCTTCGTGAGATTCTAGTGCTCGGTTTCTCGTCGATCTCTCGACGTCCGAGCAATTTCCATGGGGGACATAAACAAAACCTTGTCGACGCTCGCTCTAATGATCGTACGCCACGTCACCCGCTTTGAACATTCCACGTGAGCCAGAGATAAGTCTCCCCCTTTCTGGAGCTTGCATCCGAAGAAGAGGTCACGAGCTCAAAGACCTGACCTCTCCCCATAAAAGTTCATCTTCCTTCCTGACCACACGAATGTAAACTCCAAACCAGGTAACTAAATTGTCTCGTCTCTCCCAGTTGCAACAAGACTGCAGTGAAGTCTTCAGTGCATGCAATTTTTAGATCCAGTGGGCCACCCATTTCTCGTGGGTAGCGCTGAAGCTTTTATGCGAATAATCGTAAATATCAAATGATCCTAGAGATATATACGTAGTTATCAATGAAAGAACAAAAATCTGAATCTGATATATGTATGTAAAATCAATGTTTGATAATATTATCATACCAGGTTACCATCCGAGTTTTCTGTTATCAATGGTAATATTGAAAATAAATTTTTAGTCAGTTCAAATACGTGAATTCGAAAATTTAAAATAATTTTTTTGGGTATATAAATTAAAGATAGTAAAAGATACAATTTTGAGCTAGCTAAGCATCAAGCCCTTGAATAAAGAATGGTTATATACATCAACTCAACATAATGAGAAGAAACATTGAATATGATGTTTTGGATCTAAAGTAATATCAGTATTTAAATTTCAAACTCCACATCTTACGGAATTTTTATAACTGTTCTGTTTTTAATTCTCCAACATTTTTACAATATTTAGGTGTGGAATTGATTAGTATGCATATAAAAATTTGAAAAATTTTTGTGCACCGGGTCTTTTGTGAATATTTTAATGTACATAAAATTATAACTGAAAGTTATTCAGATATACATTTAAGGAAATAAATCAATTAAATTCTCAGTTGTTAATGTACTTTTTTTATATATTTTATCCTGATTTTAAAAAAATGTTATGGTAAAAAAATTTATGCATGAAAATAATATGTATATTTATATAATTAATTGAAATTTGGATTTGAATGCATTCAAGAAAAGACAACTCTTTTTATCAATATATGATTTTTACAAAAGAAAAAAATAAATACTTTTGTGATTTTAGCATAGACATATAGAAGATTACATCAACATTTAAAATGAGAAAATCATCATGTTGATGATGCAGCAAACATAATTGATACTTAAATTGTAATTGTTGTTCATAGAACTAACGGCTAAAAAAACTTGTTGATATGTTTGTCAATGAAACAAAAATTGACATTTTATTTCTAATGATAAAATTTTGAAATCATAGTGAGTAAAACAACAATACGAGAGACACATGTATAATGTGATTCACACTCGAAGATTACGTCCATAGAGTAATATTACGCGAGAAAATTTACTACTTCAGGTGAAAACACAACAATACTTGAAGCACAGAAGATTTAAAGTATATACATGTATCCAACATATAAGACCAATCTTAACTATAAATAGCTACACATGAGGTTACTCATTAACCAAATTTAACTTCAACAATCTCTCCCTTGCCTCGCGTTAAGGAATCTAAGTAAATTCTTTGACTAATATTATAACTATGCGGGAAATTCTAGATGGAAATCTAACACAATGGCACTCTTTAAACGAAAGTTAACTAAAACTAAACTGTAGCCATAACAAGATAGAGTATTAATATGGAGTGTTAACTCAACAATCTCCCCTTAATGCGTGTTAAGCAACCTCAATAACCTTTCTAGCCTATATTATTACTCATATAACAGAATAGAGTAATAATATACAGAGTTAACTAAATAATTTATTTTTAATTCGTGTTAAGTAATCTCAGTAAACTCTCTAACCTATATTATTACTCCCATAACAGAATAAAGTAATAATATACAGAGCTAATTCAACAATCTTCCTTTAACTTGTGATAAGAAATTCTAGTAAACTTTCTAACTTATATTATTACTCTGTGGAAAGTTTTAGATGTAAATCTAATACAATGCCACTCTTTAAACGAGAGTTAACAAAAACTAAACATGATAGAGTGACAATATAAAGAGATTACTAAAAACCATATCTCCCGTGCTCCCTATACACAACTTGCATAGTAGCACAGTGTCGTCTAACATTTTTCAAAAGAATAATTTTGGTCAATGTATTAATTGGATTGAGTTTAATCTCAATCTTGACTAGCTCAATTGTTTTTTCAAACACTTCTTGTTTAATAAAGTTATATTTGATGTCGATGTACTTCGTTTTACTAACCATGCCTTGAGTGCAGTCAAATGTAAAGCATTTTGGCTATCATAATGAAGATTGAGCATGACTTATGTCAATTCCATCTCCATGATAAGTCTATTCAACCAAATAGCTTACTTTGCCGCTTCTGCTGCTGTCACAAACTAAGCTTCCGTTGTTGATTGAGCTAGGCATTTTTCCAAGGTAGATCTCCAACTAATACTTCCACAGCCAAGTGTAAACACATATTCAGTTGTATCAATGTTTGTATAAATTTTGTATGTAGTCAGCATCAACGTAGCCAAATAAAAACTTGGCATTGTCTAATAATCTATCAAACAATGAGCCATAATCCACTATACTCTTAATATATTTCAAAATTCATTTCATTGTTTCCTAGTGAACTTTTCTTGGATTCGACATGTACCTACTCAACTTTCCCATTGCTAAAGCAATATCATGCCTAGTGCACACCATTAAATACATGAGGCTCCGTACACCTTGTTCACAAAGAACACATGTCATTATTCTTTTCTTCACAACATGTGTAGTACATTGAGCTGCATAAAGTTTAAAATATACTGGCATAGGGTTCCATACTCCTTTTGAATCGGTCATGTTGAACTTGTCTAGTATACGGCGAGTATACTTGCTCTGATTCAACCATAGCTTTTTCTCTTCAAAATTCCTATAAATCTTACAAGTAGAGAAATAACTTTGAAATTGCTAAAAAATATACTCGCCATCATTATTTGATCTCAGATATTTCACCTTATGGTCAGTCTGGGTCTCAATTTGTATGCGCCAACATTTGAAGGTTGAAAACCCCTCAAATTTTTGGGTAAGAAAAAATATATCCACACATACTTGGAGTAATCATTTACAAAAGAGACATAATACAATTTTCTAGAGAGTGAGACAAAAAAAAAGTGTCTCCGCGCGTCATTATGTACATACTCTAGTATTTTTTATGAAACTATGAGTTCCAACGCTTAAAGTCGTCTATGATGTTTTCCCATAATGCAATGTTGACAAAATTTCAAGTCAAATTTTACCCAAATCCAATAACAACTTTTTTTAATCAAGAAGAGACATGTACCGATCACTCATATGGCATAATTTGGAATGTCATACATGAGATATATAAACGCGAGATCTGGTAAAGTGAACTTTTTTACAAATAGTGATGCCCTCTAACAAATACATATTATTGTGCTTTTATTCCCAAAAAATAACATTCTTATTACATGATCTGATATCTAACACGTCATGACTAGAACTCCACTCTAAGCCGTGTGGGCCCAATACACTAAGAGAGATTAAGTTCTTACTCATGTTAGTTATAAACCTAACATGGATTAATGTGGTAGTGCAGTTTTTTTGTTTTTTCATAAATAAAGTAGTTAGGTCGGAGAAATCTATGCAAGTTTTAACTTTTGAGATAGTAGTAATTAGATTAGAAGAAAATAAGCTTTTTACTATAGATGCCAAGTAGGAATAAGAAGTCCGAAGGATCGTTAGTAGAAAAGTTCGGCCACCGGAGGCCGATGAGGTCCTAATCCGAAGGAACGGATCGAAAAGATGCAAGTAACGGGAGGACGTACGAAGACCTAGCTTTTCCAAATACATAGAAAGATATTTTGACACGAGTATTCGGTACTCTGTATTCGGAGATAACGACCTAAGAGTTCCTTCTAGAATCCATGCAACGAAGACTCCCTAGGGAAGTAAAAGATGATGTCGCACGGGAAAGAAGTTTGAATGGCGGCATCTTCAATTCGCACAAGTTGGGCAGACCGTTGCGACGGCGGGAAACACCCAAGGAAACGCGAGTTTGGTTTCCACATTTCACGATCACATTATCGCAATTGATGAAAGATTGTTGTGCGGAAGCTCGAGCGAGAGGAAGCAGCTATGGGGTGTTCGATTCGATTGACCGCTCTAAGAGTTCTCGAGATATGATTAAGAGCCTATCATTGTGACTTGATCCTTGTGAAGATGGATTTCTTGCTCTGGGGCTGGAATTGGGTAAGTGCAGCGATAGTACAGGCGTGGAACAACGGTGGCTTACCGAAGCCACCAAGGTATCGAGAAAATCTCGAGACTTGGAAAATTTGGAATGGGAAGAAAGTCTTGGGATGTTGCGCAAGAGACGATGACGACCTTACCTTCGAAAGTGAGAGTGTCAAGGTAATGCGAGCGGAAGAGAACTCATACGCATCTTTGTTTAAGCACCCGCGCACCGGCAAGAAAGGGTATCAGACCATTTGATATCATGATCGGTTCAGAAGAAATGTGGTGATGGCGTTAATGCAGATCCTGCGACCTGCTCGGACCACTTATATGATGACTAGACAGGTTGGATTCGTGGAACAAGCACTGTGAGGAGAGCGTATTCACTAAACGCGTATCTTCTGAACGGCCACTCAGCAACACATTGGGCTACTTCCAGGAGGATCAGCCAATTATTTAACCCCGTTTTTGATTAATTTTTATAGAGGTATGGGATTGTTAATTGTTGGAGAGAGGAGGGGAGTTCTCGATGCGAACTCATGCGCATGAAGGAGAAGAGTTTGTGAGTGTCAATGAGGTCAATACAGATCCAGAGGACGAGCAAACTTGCTCGCCTTCGCACAGGAGAGAACAACCTAGGGGAAGACATGAAGAACGACTACGGAAGAGAAGAAGGACTTAAGAGTTCGCTATAACTGAAAAATGTGTACGCATGACCATCAAGTTGAGATCGCCCAATGCTCGGGTTAGAACGAAGATGAAAGCAAGGCGATTGATACTGAAAGAGGAAAGCAGCACTGAGACTAGGG